GTAATACAACAAGCATTGTTAATTTCCTACCACTTTGTTTGTAACTCTGTACTGTCTGTACTGTTCTTTTGCTATTTTGTAAAGGTTGTCTGTCTGTTAATGTTTTCCTCCTTTTATTTTTAAAATTAAAAAAAAAAAAAATCATCTCTGAGGCCAGGCATGGTGGCACATGCCTGTAATCCCAGAACTCGGGAGGCTGACGCAGGAGAATCGCTGTGAGTTTGAGGCCAGCCTGGACTGCAAAGTGAGCTCAAGGCCAGCCTGAATTGCATAGCAGGAGCCTGTCTCAAAAAGACAAAAAAAAAAAAAAAAAAAAAGAAAATCTCTGAATTGTTCGTAACACCTAAAATACAATGGAAGTAAATGTTAGTAATACCTAAACTACAGCGTTAACGCTAGGTAAACAGTAGTTATACTGTACTGTTTAGGGAATGAGAACCAGAAGAACAAGTCTGTACGCGTTCAGGACAGATGCAATTTTTTTCTCCAAATAATTTTGATCCCAACTTGGCGAATTCATGGATGCAGAACCGTGCACAAGGAAAACTGACTGGGTAGTCTATGCCTCCGACCCTTCCCACAGCTAAGCAAGGACTCCGTAAGCAGTGAGTCATGATTTAGTTATCCGTTCTCGCAAAGCTGGGTGTTTGCATGGTTTCCAATTTTTTCCTCCAAATAATGCCACTATTCATCTTTTTTGACAAATAATTCTATTCCTGGTTTTGGACTATTTATCTGGGCCAGAGACCTAAATTTGGAGCCATGATATCACAAGGGGAGGCACATTTTAGGCCCAAGGGTTAGACACATCACCACACCCATCAGTAGGGATCAGAGTCACTGCATGGCACTGCCTCTTTCAAACACCCTTAAACGAAGAGAGGGGACACAAACTCGACTTCCTGAAGTACATGACTGAGTTGACCTAGTTGTCACCTTAGGGGATAAGGATGCTCACGTGCTTGTTACGGCTATGTCTAGATGTCCCCCCAAAGCCTCATGCAATCGTAAGGTTTTTTCAGAGGTGGCTGGATCTAGAGTGTGTGATGCTGGGATCAAGGGTGTGTGATCACTAAATCAGCCCACTGACTGGTTTGGCATAGTTCTGGCTAGGATTCAGGGTGTGAGTGCTGCAGCTGCCCTAGGGCAGGTAGCCTGCGTACCATACAAGGGACAGAGTCTTGTCTCTCCCTTGCTTGCTTCTGCTGCCTTGCGCCACCATGAACTGTTGGCCCTCTGCCAGGCTGCCCCGCCTTGGGGCCAGCCCATGACGGACTGAAAGCTCTATACACGGTGAGCCAAATACACCTTCCTTCCTTTAACTTTGGGTGTCGGGTATTTTGTCTCGGCAACAAGAGGAAAGTAACTAAGACAGAGTTTATGCCCAGGAACCCCACTACATCGCCGCCTTGGTTCACAAATGCTTCTGCTCATGAACAACTTAGTTCATGAACAGCAGCACTCACCAAAGTTTTCCCTCTGCCCCCGCGCTGGCTGACCCCAGGGGCGCGCTGCCCCCTCAGGACCGTGGAGTGGGTTAGGTTTGTGAGCTGAGCCGCCACTGCCTGCATCCGTTATGTCGTCCCTGACAGCCAGAAAAGCGTGAGATTCCCCTCAGGACACTGAAACTATGGTTTGCTTGGAGTACACATGAAAAATGGGTTGTTTTATTGTGCAGAAAGCCAAGTGAATTTTTCTCTAAGGCATAAAATAACATTATTAGTTAATAGCAACTTAAAAATATACTCCAAAGTTCATAGACAGCATTTCCTAAGATACAGCTGCCTTAGCCTCTTACTTACATTTTTCACTGTGAAATCTCTGATGGTCCACTCCGGGAGAACAATTTCTGATGTCATTGCCACAGTTATGTCCCCGTAGTCCTGGGCCTGCTTAGAAGGCCAGTACTCCTCACATTTGGTCTAGAATAAAATTGCAATTTTATGAAAACACACAGATCACACCATCTGTCATCATGAAAGATCCAAAAGGAAGACCAGGGGAGCCAGGCGTGGTGGTGCACACCTGTAATCCCAGCACTCAGGAGGCTGAGGCAGGAGGATCACTGCCAGGTCAAGGCAAGCCTGGGCTGTAAAGTGAGTTCAAGGCCAGCCTGAACTGCACAGCAAGACCCTGTCTAAAAACAAAAAGGGAAGGCAGGTAATGAAACTGGCATCAGGGACTGAGTCGCTCCCCTGGCTGGCAGCTCTGCGATCCTTAGAATGGTTTGCTTGCTTTTGATTTAAAATTCTTTCCACCCTTTTAAAATGGGGAGTTTTCTCAGATCTGCCCATGCTGGACCATCATTTCTGCATGAAAACGGATTTCAAGCCAAGCAGCAGCTGTCCTTGACCTGGCCCCAGCCTCTGCTCCTGCTATTTGCTATCCCAGCAAGGACATTAAAAGACAGAAAACAAATTTCTGAGAAGAGAGGTGCCCATGTTTGAGAGTAGTATTTTTTAAAAGAACACAAATGGTTTTGAAGGTACTTAAAGACCTTCCACCATGGCCAAAGTCAATTTAATATGAAGTTTTTAAAAAATAACTTACCCTTCCCTGTTCAACACATTTGGTCAGCATAACAACAGCATATACGTTTTTCTCCCAGACCATACGCCAAAAATCTTTCAAAGTATTGACCAACGGTCCTTGTGTGGCAATGAACTCTCTCTTGGAATGGTAGCCCTAAGGACAGAAAGCACACATTCAGTGTCAAGGGCACCAAAGGAGACACCCTGAAGGGCTCGTGGGAATAAGCCGGTGCACACTTACGGGCATGTAGTTGGCGTTGATATAGTCATCGGTAGAATGGGTCTGGACTGAAAGCTTGACACGAGAAATATCATCTGAAAAACAGAAAAGACCTCGTTAGAAACCAATGTTTCAGGAAAGCTGCACACAGAAAGGAAAACATACATCCCCTGCTCTGCTTCCCAGCCGCCATGAAGCGAGCAGCTCTGCTCCGCCAGGCCCTTTCCGCCGGGATGCTCCTGCCCTGGAGACAGCTGAGCATGGACTGAACCCCCTAAAACCATGAACCAAGTTATCCTCTCCTCCTTTGTGCCATGGGGGTCTGCTGCTGTGTCCCTGCAGGGAAAGCTGACTGATACACCACCCATCTCAGGCCAAACAAGCCTATTACCACCAGCTGCCTTGCTGTCTGCCACAAGCAGAGAATAGGTTAAGCAAATAGGTTTACTTTTTTCCCCAAAACCACCCCACAAGTGTCCACTCTGTTTTACACACGAGGAAACTGGGGAAGATGGGCATGAAAGGGTTTCAAGCTCACGCCATCTGGTGAGCACAGACAGAATTCAAACCTAGCACCTGTTCCCCAGCAGCACAGCCGAGGCCCAAGGCCACCGTTCCACACTGCCTCAATTCTTGGATAAAAACAGGGTGCTATGCAAGATAGCTAAGATAAATGCACTACTGATTAATATTAGCTCATTGAAAGGAACAGTTAGTGTTTGTATTACTTGATCAATCTCACATGCCTATGTCTGGTAATCTGAGCAACTACTTCGAAGACAACAATACACAATATAATAACCACTGTTAATTTCCTATCATCTTGTTTTGAAATTGTGTATCATTTTTATTGTTTTTTATTATTGTCTCTAAAATTAAAAAAGTACTAGATCTAACAATGAACAATGATAAGACCACTAAGAATGGAATGCTCTAAAATGAGAATTCTCCTGTTTCCGGGGAGTTACCGGCATCTCAGAGGCGCATGCGCAGACCTGTCCGGTTCCAGGAAGGGAGCAGGCTGAGGGCGCTCGAGGGCAGGAGAAGCCACACAGCAGCCCCCGGCCGCCCGTCTCTCCCCGCATGGGTCCCCTCTCAGGGACAGAAGAACACCGCGATGCTAACTCAGGTACCGATGTGAGTCTCAGCCCAACATCTTTCCAATAAAAACCGTACTCTGACACCAAATTGCCAGGTGCCATTCAGGATCTGCACATCTCCACGGGCCTTACCAGGAACAGGCGGGCAACTGGGGGCGACATGAACTCCTCCCTGCCCCTCCTATTTTCAAAGCATCTTCCCTGTGACCAGCTTTGGTGAGTCCCCGACACAGAAGAATTTAGTTATCCTCATATTTTTTGTTGTTTGTTTTCAGACAGGGTCTCACTGTGTCATTCAGGCTGGCCTTGAACTCCTCTGTAGCCCAGGCTCGCCTCCACCTCATGGTGATCCTCCTGCCTCTGCCTCCCACGGGCTGAAATTACAGGCATGAGCCACTGCACCTGGCTCACGCATCACTCATGTTAAGATGTGGAACGCGCCCTGCCAATCACAGGTGTCTGGACAAGCAGAAAGGTGACTACCAGGCTTTGCACTGTGGGCGTCAGGTGTTGTAGTCCAGTGATGAGGAAGTGACTCAGGCAGACAAGCGCCCACTCTGTCCTCTTCCCTCAGTGAGACTCACGGACCTGGCCCCCAGCCTGGTTTTGCCATTACTACCTGTGCGACCTCAGGAGAAAGAAGTCACCTCACAGGTCATGCCTCTGTCTCCTTATCTGCAAAATAAACCTCCCACTCCTGACTTCATGGGAAGGTTGTGCGGATTAAATTAAGCATCACATCCCTACAGGCAGCACTTAGCAGTGACAGGTGACCAGTGCACAGCTGCCCCCGACGGTCACACACGTGACGGGCAGAAGGGGACACGGCGTGGGACGTCACTCACAGGGCAGGACGTTGTTATAGCGATTCTTCCCTCTGTTCTCAGCCAGCTCAGCAGCATATTTAGGCAAACTGATTCCAACCAGCTTCAGATCCTGAAAGCAAGATTAAGAAGCTGTTTATTTATTTCACCTTCAAATGCTATTTACACTGGGCGGAACAGAGCAGGAACACAGGGGCCCGGGGGCTGACTTGTGTACCCTGAAACTTAGGCTGAATTTCTAACCCCAGCGCTGTCTTCCTGGGAAATGGGGCCTTTGCAGATGCCATCGGGTTAAAATGAGGTCACACAAGCAGGGGACCCTAATCCCAAGTGGGCAGCCCGGGCAGGAGGGAAAGAGGCAACGAGACAGGGGCACAAGGAGGAGACACCTCGGGGAAACACAGGCAGAGACGCGAATGCCCTGCCACAAAACAAGAGGAGCACACAGCTGCTGGCAGCTGGAGCTAATGGGGAAGATGCCCAGGGGGGAGCCGGGCCCAGTCAACACCGTGACTAAAGCTACAACCCGGCCACAGATACAGCTCAGCAGCACAAGCGCCTGCCGGGCAAGTGCAAGGTGGTGAGTTCGATTCCTGATACAAAAATAAATAAATAAATAAATAATAAAAAAAATAAAGCTACAACAAGTCTCTATTGCTTTATACCGCCCAGCTCACATGGCTATGGCAGCCATAGGAAAGGAACCCAGAGATTTAAATAAAGCCCAAAGGACAAAGGTGAGCCTACCCGTAATCCCAGCACTCTAGGAGGCTGAAGCAGGAGGATCTCAAGTTTGAGCCCAGCCTGGGCAACTCAACAAAACACTGTCTCAAAATAAGAAATAAATAAATAAATAAGGCTGGGGATGTAGCTCAGTGTGAAGGCCCCTGGTTCAACGCTCAGTACCGGAAAAAAAAAAAACAAAAACACACAGTCCAGGGGCTGGGGATTTAGCTCAGCAGCACAGCGCCTGCCTGGCAAGCACACGGTCGTGAGTTTGATTCCCGGTACTGGAAAAAAACAAAAAAACAAAAACAAAAACACACAGTCCACTAAAACCCAGGATCAGTGGGAGCGCTCGAGGACCACAGCGGGGGCCCCAGGGACAGGCACGGACTTCTCCCCACTCCAGCAGCCTTCTCTCACCCAGAGCTTCACCATAAGACAAAAACAGTTCCAGACATTCAAGAAGAATCACACAACGATGAGAAACACAACACCACGGCCACGTACTTCGTATTCCTCCGCAAACCCGCAGTTGGAGTCGGCTTGCTGCTTCTTAAAGTAAGCCTCAAAATTCTCCGCTCTGATCAGCTTGGACCTAAGAGAGCAGAACAAGCTGTCAGGGTTTTCTTCACATCCAAAGAGGTACACACTCCAAGTAGAAAAATCTAAGTTATTCTTTTTTTATTTTACTTTTAAAATAAAAGGAGAAAACATTAACAGACAGACAACCTTTTAAAAAATAGCAAAAGAACAGCACAGACAATACAGAGTTACAAACAAAGTGGTAGGAAATTAACAATGCTTGTTATATTACATATTGATATCTTCAAAGTGGTTTCTCAGGAAAACAGAGACATGCAATATGGATCAATCAAGGACTCACTGACAGTTTCTTTCAGCAAAGAAATAGAAGACAGTAGCTAAGTTATTTTTTAAAAGTAAAGTTACTCACTTTTTAGGTCTTCATCATAGAAGGGGAAAGAAAAAAATAACCAATTAGAAAAGGTCATTTGTTTAGGAAATAAGTATCTTCCCAGAATAACAAAAACCAGACCAGAAGGGGTGGGGGGCAGAAGCCCCACCTACGAGTGCCTGAGGCTTTTGGGGGGACACTGAGATGTAAACTGTGAGTCTATGCATCTGTGGTATGAAATGGTCATATTTGTGAGTTTACTTAAATGCCACTCTCCCCCAGATCTTGATAACCCACTCAATTTTTTTAAATCATAAAATGAATATTATTGAGATGTGCTACACCCACATGCCAATGCCCCAAAATGAATGTAACTATGATATTTGCAAACGTCTACTAGCAAATGTGGATGTAAAATAGCAGAACACGGCAAGGAATCTTGCTTCAGGTCAATATACAGCAGAGGTTTCTTCTCGAAAATGAAACTAGTGAGAATTTCCAGGCAATCAATCAAGAAAAATGACAGCAAAGCCCATCAAAAATTCTCGTACGGTCACAGAACAGATGGGGCAGTGAGAGTCTGAAAGTAGCCCGAAGTCTAGACACTTACTTAATCTGAGAAAAGGACACGTCGCTGTTCTTTGCATCTTTCCTGTGTTGAAAGGAAACAAAAGGCCATCAGACAAGAAGAGCTTCGTTCTGGGCCTCCCCTCGAGTGCCTGTGTCAAACGCCTTTCCCCAGGCCCTGGGTCCAAGCAGCAAACGTCGGTCACAAAGCTGTAAAGTCAGTTCTTATTCTATAGCAACGCACAGGGAATGTTGCTCCGGCCACCTTTAAGAATTTCCTTGCACTATGTATCAGTGACATTACCTTACCGTAAAGCTAGGCTCTTTGTTTCGTACTGTTCTGGGGGAAAGGCTGATACGCTACTGCAATAAAACAGAAACTGACGCTCTCCGGTGTTGCTGGCTCCACTCCATGTTGGGTGTGAAAACTATTCTCTGGAAGCTAACTTGGCAGCATGGATGCAAACTGAAGACCTGGATGCCCACAGACCCAGCGGTGGTCCGGCTGGGAATAATCACAGGCGTCGCAGAGAGTTGAGCACAAGGGTATGTAATGGCGGCCCCCCAAACTGAAAACATCTGGTATATTGGTTAAATGAGTGATGGTACTGACATACAGTTAAATACCCGTAGCCACTTAACCTGGGGATGAAATGGGTAGTTTTGTGTAGGTGCTGAGATTATGGGTTACCTTCTGTGTTCTTTTCTGTGGTAGTTTTTTGTTTTTGGTTTTTCTCTACCAAATGTTATGGTTTAGACCTAGAATGCTCCCCAAAAGTGCTCAGAGGTGGGCTTTTGCAAAGGGACTAGATCACGGGGTGCGATATCCATCAGAGGATTCCTCCACTTATGATTCAGTCACTGAATGTGCTGTGAGGAGGTGGGACCTCATCAAGAGGTGGGTCACACCCAGGGATGTGACCCGGAAGGGTGTGTTCTTGTCCCCTGGCTCTTCTCTCTCTACTTCCTGGCTGCTGTGGTTGAACAGCTTTCTCCCACTAGGCCCTCCTTCTGCCTTGGAGCCAGCAAACCATGGACCAAACCCTCTGAAACCGTGAGCCAAAACGAACCCCTCCTCCTTGAGGTTATGGGTGTCAGGGATTTTGTCCCAGCAATGGGAAAGTGACTCGTATATTTGGATTAATTTTTGACAACAAGAAACAAGTTGTTTTACCCAGTTATGCACCTCGAGTCCCAAAAAGTAAATCAGAACCTGATGCCAAAGCTGCACTGTTAGCACTGTTCCCCAACCCAGCAGGGTCACGCTGGAAACCCTGCGTGGGGCGGGGAGGGGGCTTAGAGTCCCTGTTGGCAGCAAATGAATCCCAGCTGACACACAGCCTTCACGCAGGCAGGGAGGAGGGCAGCGAGGAAGAAAGACGGTCAAGTGGTGAGCACTGTGAACCATGGGGACACAAGTGTTCTTTGTACCGTTCCTCACAGGTCTGTGAGTGCGGGGAGTCTCCCACAAGAAAAGCTTCCCGGAAGAGCAGAGGATTGTAATTCACACAAGCTACGTCACCTTTTCTTTCTCCAGAAGATGAAGCCTCCCACGGCCACGATGACCAGGGCGCCAACGATGCACCCGAACACAGCTCCGCAGATGACACCTGGGGTTGGAACACAGGCACCTGGGGAGGGGTCCCCGGGGGCCACACGGGCCCCACAGCAGGGGGCGGGGGTGCACGTGCACACAGGTGTGTACAAGACATACAGAGCACACACACATACACGGGAGTCACACATCTCTGATAGCGCTGGAACTAAAACCCAGCCAGGCAATCGGGAGCTACAGTCCCTGGCCCTGGCCAGCCCTCGCTGCAGTCTCCTCTCTGGCCCGTCACTCCACCTTGGGAGACCAACCGGCCGCCTGAGACCCTCTGAGCCGCGCCTCCCATGAGCAGAAGGGCCCATGGCACTATGCTCAGGGGATACAAAATCCCTCTGCTGACTTCCCCAGGGAATTTCTTTCTAGCAGCCAAAAACCATCCAGCAGGACAAGCCAGAAAACCTAGCAAATGAGTCAGTCCATGAGCCTCCCTGGGTCCCTGCAGCTCTTGTGTCACTTAGCTCTTCAACCATGGATAGGAACAGTGACAAGGAGCCCAAGGCCAGAATCTCAGGACCGCAACTAAGGCGCTGTGTGACCCCAGGCGAGTCAGCTCCCCACTCTGGGCCTCAACAGCCTATTTCTAAAGGGAGGTTGACAAGACAATTCCCGCGGCTCCTGGGACTGCAAATGTTGAAGGATTCCCTAAAGAAAAAGTCACACCATGTGCCTGGCATGGGGGCCCACGGGTGAGACCAAAGAGCTGAACAACCCAGGGATTAGAAACACAGCTGGCTGCCAGGGACTCCAGCCGGGGCCGGGCCGCTGTCTCCCCGTACCTGGGTCCTGGGGCAAGAAAACGGCCTCCGAGTAGGGGCTGAAGGACACGTAGCTCTCGGGCCCGTTGATGAGGCCGGCACGCTGAAGGCTGAAGGTGATGTTGGTGAAGCCGGCCACGCAGGCCCTGCAGGGGCAGAGAGCTCCGTGAGGCCGCTGGGCCACGTCCCCAGCCCGGCACACAGCTACGCACCCCGCGCGCAGCCCTGGCTGCAGGGGTAAAGGCCTCACCGGTAGGAGCCCAGCGGCTCCAGCTTCCCGTTGTAGTAGCCCCAGGTGGTGGACTCATTGCCTACGTCGATCTCGTATTTCAGGACAGCGGCCAAGCCCCGGGACCACGCCTTCTCCTCCGCGTGTACAAGGTACGTCACGTAGGTATCCGAGGCCCCCTTTTTGAAATCATCATAGGTGTATCTCAGGACATCTGCAGAAGGGGGGCCGGCTGAGGGAAGCACACAGAAAGCAAACCCTAAGTGACAGCAGAGACTCGGGTCTCCACACAGCTGGGCGACGCCGACTCAGGCACCCTCAAGGCCGGGCTCTGCCAGGATTAAATTCTCAGTGCCTCACTTACACGAGCTCATTTCAACACCCGATCCTCGTCACATAAGCTTATCAAGCCCATTCTCCAGAAAAGAAAGACGGAGGCTCAGAAAACCAACCGGACCTGGCCCAGTGTCAGTCACCCCACCCTTGGGATGGAGCAGGACTCCCAGCCAGGCTGGGCGAGCCAGGGCCTGTGCTCCTGTTCATCGCAGTCCAGCGCCAGCAGCCTGGTCACCTGTAACCTCACCGACCTCTTCAGTAAAGGTCTACACTTCGGGTTTGTTGGAAATCAACAGAGCAGAATAAACAGACCCCAAATAAAATGCACAAGTAGAGAAAGCACGAAATCTTTTTTGTTTTATTTGTTTGCTTTTTGTTTTTTGACATAGGAACTTACTATGTAGTCCAGGTTGGCCTCACACTCACAGGGATCCTCCTGCCTCAGCCTCCCCAGCGCTGGGATTGCAGGCGTGTGCCACCACGCTGGGCTCAACACCACTTTTTGAAACTCTGAGACATGTCCATGACATCAGCAATGTCTACCCTCCAGGGTCCCCTCACTGCGGGACATGTTTGTCCCCCGCTTCCTCACGGAGACAGGGAGGACACACAGATCGAGCCATGGCTGAGGCAGGAGGACCTCCAGCGGTGGCCCTGCCTGTGCATATTTAGGCTAAAAAATCGCCCCAAACACCAAGAGTTGGCACTTTAGATCCAGACTGCTGCAAAGCACTCACACCCAGCTGTCCAGAGACGTCCTCAGTCATGCCCCTGAGACCAAGAACTGCGTCAGAGCCACTGCAGGAGAAACCGCTTTTACCCCGCCTCTTCCTTGGGCCACAGGGACGCCTTTGCAGGGTCTCGAGGAAATGCAAACCCTTTTTATTTGTAACGAAAGCATCACTGCGCAAGGACCTGTGTGTGTGTGCGTGCGTGTGTGTGGGCGTGTGCATGTACATGTGTGTACACCTGTGTACTGAGTGTTGGAAACAAAGCTAGGAGCCAGGGCTGGGGATTTAGCTCAGCGGCAAAGCGCCTGCCTGGCAAGTGCAAGGTCGTGAGTTCGGTTCCTGGTACCAGAGAAAAACCAAAAAACCAAAGCTAGGAGCCAGGCCTGGTGGCACAAGCCTGTAATCTCAGCACTTGGGAGGCTGAGGCAGGAGGATCACTGTGACTGTGAGGCCAACCTGAGATACATAGTGAGTTCAAGGCCAGCCTGAAGTACATAGTGAAACCATCTCAAAAACAAAATCAAAAAAAAGGAACAAAGCCACTCGAAACTAGTATTCTTCCACTGGAAGACCTGCCGCTGTAAGAGAAAACCTAGCACAGGTCCAGCGGGTCCTGCCCGGCCACGCTTGCGCCTCTTGCTTCTGCGAGCATTCTCACGCCGCAGGGCAGAGCAGGAATTAGCCGGGACGGAAACTGGAAGCCGCACTGCACACACGGCCCGACGCATGCACCTCGCGCTCCCGCGACCCACCGTGGGCCTTGGAACGGAGCCAGTCCGCCCGTCCGACCGTGGTGGGGCGGCAGGCGCGGGCGTGTCGGCTCCCTGCGCAGCTGCGCCTGCGCCCCCTTACCCTCGCCGGTGGTGAGGACGACAGCGTAGGCTCTGATGGGACCGTGGCTGGCTTCGAACCCGCTGAAGAGGACCCTCATAGAGTTGTGGCTGACAGATGTGATGTTCGGGGAGCCCTCTGGGGCAGGGGGGTCTGAAAGGAAACCACAAGAGACAGGATCGGTGCCCGACACGGCAGTCACGGGAGGAGCCGCAGCTCCGGTGCAAGGGGCAGAGGGGGCGCAGCCCCGGGAGCTCAGGGCACACCAGCCTCCACCGGGCATGCAACCCCGGCATTGTTGCCGTTCTTTGTAACTATGTACTTGTAATCCTTTTATGTTTGTTTGGTTTGTTTTTTGAGACAGGGTCTTGCTACTTAGCCCAAGCTGGCCTCAAACTCGCAGAGATACTCCTGCTTCAGCCTTCCAAGTGCTGGGACTACAAATGGATACCACCATGCCTAGCTCTTTCCTTTCACTTTAAAAGTGGATCTATTAAGGCATAATTAGAGTACAACCAAGGAGGTGAACAACTTGTACACTGAAAACTATGACACTGATAAAAGAAATCAAAAAAGACACAAAAGGAAAGACATCACACGTTCATGGGTTAGAAGAATTACGATTACTAAAATGTCCACCATACTCAAAGTGATTCACAAATTCAATGCCGTGCCTCCTCAAAATCCCAACGGCATTTTGTACATGCACAGAAAAATCAGTCCTAAAGCTCAGATGAATTACGAGTGGTCTTGAGAGAGCAGCCCCAACACCTTTCGATTTCAAAATAGATTACACAGCTGCCCTGATTAAAACAGTCTGACCCAGGCAAGGTGGCCCATGGCTGTCATCCCAGCACTCAGGAGGCTGAAGCAGGAGGGTCCTGCCACAAGTTCGAGGCCAGCCTGAACTACATAGTGAGACTCTGTCTCAAAACACCAGAAAATAAAAAAGAAATAAGATGTGTCCGTGCGTGCACCAGCACCCCAGGAGAAATGTGATCATTGCATGTACTGCAAACATGGACCAATAACAACTTAAAAAGCACAGGACATGGAAAGATTAACTAAGAGAGCCCCTGGGTAATAAAGGATCTCCTATTCCCCAGAGCAGCTCAGAACTTGTTCATATGAACGCAGGGAAATGTGCGGCGTGACTGAATATCCAGCCATTTGTTCCACTGTGAAGTACAGTGGTAGTGCTAATGCTGCCGTGTGAGGGAGGAAGAAAGAAGGAGTCCCTGTCCTGAACCAAACATGCTGAAATATTTAGGAATAAGAATGGAGAAGGGTCAGAACTTGTTTCAAGGTAACCCTTGAAGGGCAGAGGGGAGAGAACGTAAATAAAGGGAGCGCTCCTGCGCTGTCCACCTCTGGGCGGGTGCGTGGGTCCCACCACACCGCCCTCTCCTTGTGTCGATTTGGACGTTTGTATAAAAATGCCGTTTCTGAGCGCAGCAAAGGAAATCCTTACTTAGAAGGGAAAACGGTGAGGAGTTCCTGTGTACAGCGACAGAACCTTCCAGGATAAAAGAATGAGTCTGCTTTTCATTTCCAGAGAATGGGGTCCCAGTCTGTGCCAACAAAGATAAACATTTCAGGGGAAGTAAAGCCGGACGCGGTGCCAGCCAGGTGCGCGGCCCTGGAGCCCACCTGTGATGCCGGTGAGGCAGGTGCTGTGGACGGCGGGTGCTCCGGCCCCGCAGGACTCGGTGGCGATGCTGATGTTGTACCACGTGGAGAAATTCAAGTTTGAGACTTCCGTCCTGCAGTCGGTGCTGTTGTCCGGGCAGCCACGCTCCAGGCTTTTGAAGTCCCAGGCCCCGCTGCTGAGCTCCAGCTGGAAGCCGGTGTGGCTGCCGGGAGGGCGGTCCCACGTCAGGACCAAGCTGGGCTCCCGGGGGACCACGTGGCAGTGGAAGGAGCCCACAGGGGCGGCCTCTGCAAGGCAAGCACAGCTGTCCTGAGGCTGTGGACCCTCGGACTCGGGGGCCGAGGGAGAGGTGCAGGGCAGGGTGGAGGAGGCACCGCGTGTGGGCCACAGAGCGAGGCGCCCGGCGCAGAACCAGGTCCCAGGAGCAGGGCCACACTGCGATCAGGGCCACCTCTTCACCGGCACCGTCCCTTCTGGGGCCCTCCTGGCAGCCCTTTCGGGGCAGGGAAGGTTCTCGCTGCCCCACCCCGCAGAGAAGTCAGCTGAGGCTTGCAGGGAGTAAGTACACCACGAAAGCTGACACGGAGCCAGAACCAGACCCTGGGTTTTCTAAATCCAAGCTCAGAGCAACGTCTACGCACATAAAATGCTGAGAAGCCAAGGTGAATGGGATCAGTGTCTTTTCCTTGGCAACGGTTTTACTGATGGCCAGCACCAGGATGATGTCAGTGGGAAACTCAATGCCGGGGCAACCACAGCACATATGATCTTTCAGCTTTTAACAGTGTGTTATGTAAAGACACGCGGCCATGCCTCCCCGCAAGCCCTCCCCTCGATTCGAGCACACTGGTCCCTCGGTTCTTTGTGAAGCAGCTCTAGAGTGCTCTTTCCTGAGTGACTTTAGGAGGTACGATCAAAAATCTGCTGAATGCTTTTGCCCGGCCCCATCCAACCAGAAGGCCGGCTGGCCAAACCGTGAGGCGGCGTCCTCATCCACCCTAGGCCCCGGCTCTGGCGCCGTGGGGCTTCTGGCTCGTTTTGGCCCAAAGTCAAAAGGACCGTGAAAGGTGAACGTTTAAGTCAATTCAGGACATCGAGGGAGCCACGACAGGACTCCAGAACTGCTTCAGAAAAGGGCAAGGAGGACGGGAGTACATTAGGAGAATTCATGACTATGTGTCTCACTGTAATAAATTACTGGTAATTTACACATCCGCCATGTTCTCCATCAGGCTGTGCACACTGGGAGCGGTGTCATCGTGAATGTCACAGAACGCTAGGGCAAGGGTCTCCCTACCGAGTCACGTGCCCCCACTCACTGGCTTGATGTCCCCACCAGCAGCTCCTGGCCCCCACCCCGCTCACGCCAGACCTGGACACTAGTCTAAGTGCTGCCCCCTGCTGCCGACCACAGGAACTACAACCAAGACAGGAAGCAGCGTCCCAGCCCCCAGATACCAGAGCCGGGGTGACCCGGGGAGACACAGAGCTGCTAGCGTGCAAGGCCAGGGCCACACGTCATCCCCGGGAGGCTGAGCCCAACTCAGCCTGAGCCCCCTGAACAGCACCATGGGAGGAGGGAGAGCTCTGTGGATCAAGGCTCCCCCTGGCCGGCTCCCCCCAGCCTCAGGGCCTTCACACCCGCCACTCCTCATCACAGCGGCCACACCCTCATGTGCACGCCTGGCTCCTTGTGACCCCAGATCTGTGCTCCAAGTCGCCTGTTTATTGAGCCTTCCTGGGCAGCCCAGAAAACACCCCACTTCCCTCCCATTCACTGCATCCCGTCCTCTCCTTGCAGGAGTCTTCGCCCACAACTACCTTTGTTACCCGACCTGCCAGGAGCCGTGGAGCGCAATGTCCACACTGCCCACCCCGGCACTCATGCCAACAACCTGCGGTCCGCACTGGGCCACTCACCCGTGCAGAAGCTCGTCTGCCCGGGGTCCAGGGACTCAACGCCCCCGACTTCTGCGAAGATCTCCACCACGTAAGGTGAGCCCGGTACTAATCCAGGGACCGTCTGGTCCGTGGCTCCGGTGACGGTGATGTTTCCTATGGTGTCGCCGCCCGCATCTCCGGCCTCCTCGATAAGAAGGCGGTAGGAGTAGGTAGGAGAGGCCGCGTCCAGATTCTCCCAGCTCAGGTAAGCCGCCGTGGTGTTGGCCCTTACTTCAACACTGGACACGCTGCTGGGCCCTGGGTTGAAAAGCAGTAATAATAAGGCAGGCATGGTGACACGCCTGTCATCCCACACTCGGGGCTGAGGCAAGGGGACTGCCACAAGTTTGAGGCCAGCCTGGGCTACACAGTGAGTTCAGGGCCAACCTGCACTACATAGCAAGACCCTGTCTCCAACGGAAAGAAAAAAGCATGAAGAAGTTTGAGTTCCAGGACAACTTCATTTACTACACGTGAAGCCAGCTTGGTTTCTTTTAGAAAGAATAAATAACGCTAACATTTGCTGGCTCAAAAATTAGAGGACTTCAGGCCAGGGTTAGGGAATTAGCTCAGCAGCACAGCCTGTGCCTAGCACGCATGAGGTCCTGAGTTCAATTTCCAATAGCAAGAAAAAAAAAGTTCCCAAAAAGACATTCAGAAAATAATTATACAGACTAAATTTGAAAAGAATGAAAGCTTTTCAGTATTTTTTTTCCTTTTATCCCAGTACTGGGCATAGAACCCAGAGCTCTCACACTAAGCTACATCTTCAGCCCCCTTTATTATTTTGAGGCTCAAACTTGGGACCCTCCTGCCTCAGCCTCCCCAGGGTGCTGAGATTACAGGTAGGCACCACCACAGCAAGCTTCCAGCTTCTTTTACTGCATTAACTTTATCTGATCTATATATTTTAAGACATAATTTCCCATTTCTTCTCTTTAAAACTGACTGATGAAAAGAAAAATATACTGAAAGCATACAACACCTCCACCACTTATTTAGTTTAGATACTGGCAAAAGGTCTCCCTCACAGCTGCAGGCAAGGCCGCTCATCAGATCAGGGTCTTGCAGTGCCACCCCGACAGCGTGACTGTTCTCTAGTCTGCATGGCTGAGCCGTGAAGGGGACACTCATGTTCTCCATTCCCATGGGCTGACTCACTTCCTGCTTCCAAGGACAACTTAAGTTCACACGGCTTCGACCCCAGGGCCCCATGAGGACGGCAGGCCTGGGCGGAGGCTGGCATTTTCCACATATGCAGCTTCCAGGTCACACGGAACCCGAGCCCCACACCCTGACCCGGTCACTTAACCACACTGCCTGCTGGTGACAAGCAGGGAGCACCTGTCCTCGCAGGACGCAGGAGAGACTCACGTGTGTACTGCAGGATGGTGCTGGAGTCCCCCCGGACCTGGTCGGCCTCGGGAGAGATGGAGATGTTATAGGGGGTGCCCGGGAGGAGGCCCCACAGCGAGATCGCCTTCTGAGAGCTGTTCCTCTCGCTGGAGTTGAAGCCAGACTGGATCCGCACATGGTAGATGTATTCGGAGGCGCTGTCTGTGTTCTGCCACTCCAGCTCCATCCCCGTGCTGGTGACGCTGACCACGCGGATGTTAGTCACCGCACTGGAGGCTAGAAGAGAAAGGGAAGGAGAAGGGAAACCTGTTTCCGACCACGGACAGCCACCTGCATCCCAGTGTCTGTCTACCGACTTGCTCTTTGATCACCGAGCTCCCGGATGAGACAGAAGGCAAACCCTAATAAAGGGGGAGGAGCATACAAGCGCACACGCACACCCTTCTCTCAGGAATCCTGGTTCTTCTACGGCACAGAACAGCTTACCCGGCCATCTTACGAGTTCTCCCGCTTTTATCATCAAAGTGACCCTGAAGGGCCTTGGGGAGTGGAACTCACACACCACTTGTCTATCTGAGCTGCTAACCCAGTGTGTGTGGTCTGCACTTTTGCATATGGGCCAGTTTCTTTGGAGATATAGATCAGTGGCGTAAGTGCCTGCCTGGCCAACATGAGGTCATGAGTTCAATTCCCCGATACAAAAGAAAGAAAATCTGCTACTTTTGCATATGGACCACACTCTTTCATTCAAAAGAAATGCATTCCAGCCAGGCATGGTGGCACACGCCTGTAATCCCAGCACTCTGGAAGCTGAGGCAGGAGGATCATGAGTTTGAGGCCAGCCTGGGCTACAAAGTGAGCTCAAGGGCAGCCTGAACTGCATAGCCAGACCCTGTCTCAAAAAGAAAAAAAAAAAAAAAAAGAAACGGGTTCCTGTACCACAGCCTGGCCTACTGAAGAAGGGAACGGACGCGGCAAGTTGACGTGTTGAAGCCTTCACAGTCACCGAGCAGGGACCAGGTCCCTTGGCACCCCATCTCTTGACCCAGGGACGCACACACACGCAAGCCAGAAGCAGGGCACCCTCTGTACCCTCACCTGCAAACCCCTCCTCTCTTTCCCTAGCAACCCAAGTCACCTCCAGGACAGGGGACAAGAAAGGGGAATATTCTCACTGTAAAAGCGGCATGCGCATGTCCTGTCCTATCGACTCCAAAATTAGTATCATTCTTAAAGGAAGCCACTTGGAGTGTGTTTACTCCTCCCACCTGGCTCCTGCAGCTCAAAAGGACTCCAGAGGCAAAAGACTATCGAGGCAGACTTTTCTATAAGCCAAAAGAACAGAAATAACCTAAATCCTCCCCTCAAAAAAGGAAAGGGCCGGGGCTGGGGATTTAGCTCAGCGGCACAGCACCTGCCTGGCAAGTGCAAGGTCGTGAGTTCGATTCCTAGTACCAGGAAAAAACAAAAAAAAGAAAGGGCCCTGTGGAACCATGAACGGGCTGTGCGATGAAGCATCCGGCACCCGCCAAAACCACGAAGAGCCCGTGAACTTCGCGGGAAGGTAAGGCAGATGCAGTGAAAACCGGAATTCCAGCACACACAAAAATGACCCATATGACAATTGCAGTGATGCCCCATGGGACTAGATAAATGTATGTTTCTCTTCCTTTTATCCATGGGACTAGATAAATGTATGTTTCTCTTCCTTTTATCATGGAATGTAGGTATTTTATCATTTTTAACCATCTGTCAGTATACACTCGAGTGGCATTAAAGATGCCCTGAACGTCACGCAACCATTACCACCATCACACCCGAAACCTCTTCACCGCCCTCCATGTCAGCTCTGTGTCTGCTGTGGTTTAGATCTAAAATGTCTCCCAAGTGCTGCTCTGTGTGGACAGTGAGCAGATCGCGGGGTGCTACCCTCATCCGTGGGTTCCTCTTGACGAGCTCATCGCCAACTGTGCTGTTAGGAGGCGGGGCCTGCTTGGAGGCGGTCCAGATGTGACCCACAAGGGCGCGCTCTCCTCCCGGCTCCTCCCCGCCTCTCCTGGCTGCTGAGTTGAGCACGTTCTCCTCAGCCAGACCCCTCCTGGGAGCCGGCCAACCAGGCACTGAAAACTCAGAAACGAGCTAAGATAACCCTCTCCCCTTTTAAGTTGTGGGTGCTGGGTACGGCGTCCACAGTGTCTCACCAGTGGGAAAATGTCTGAGACAGTGTCCATGAAACACTAACTTCCCATTTCCCTCCCCGCCCCAGACGCCTCACGGTAACCTCCATCCCTTTTCCTGTCTCTGTCAACTGGCCTACTCCAGGCACTTCACGTAAGTGAAATCGCAGTATTTGCCCTTCTCTGTCTGGCTTGTTTTCCTTGGCGTAAGATTTTCAAGCTCCGCCTATGTTAGATCATAGGCCAGGATCTCACTCTTTTTTCTGGCTGAATAATACTCTTTTATGGATAAGCCTCGTGCGTCCATCTGCCCGTCTATCAACAGCCGCTGGGCTGTCTCCACCTCACGGCTGTGGTGGACAACGCCACTGCGAGCACCGGGAACTAACAGAGGCACTGCTTTCAATTCTTTAGGAGACAGACCTGAAAGGGGAATGGCTGGATCACATCCTGCTGTTTCCCTTTCTCAAAATTCCCTTTAATGTCATGAAACTGACTGTTCCCAGTGATAAGGACAACTCAGTACTGGGAAGATGACCCTAAGCACCTAGGGTCCCACTCCATCCCTTCCTGACTTCCGCTCACTGGGACCAGTTTCAAGCTGCCGCAGAAGAGAAGCCCCTCCCTAGGAAGACGACCCCGTCCCACGGCAGCGGCAGCCCAGGTGGTGGGGAAACCTTGGTCTCAGAAGCCAGAGAGGCCAGCTCACCACCTCGTCACTGCGGGCGAGACACCCACGCTTGCTGAGGCCCCACGATCTGGCGGACGCTGACAGAATCTACCCACGCAGCCCGGCCGGGGTCTCTCAGACGCGGCGTCAGAGCGCCCCGTGCCCCACAGGCCCCATTCGTCAGCATCACGGCCTTCCGCCCGGCGCGAGAGCCTCATATCGTGGTGCGGTATCCAGGCACCACGCGCAGGCTGGGGCTTCCGGTCCACCACATCCTCAGGAAGAGAGAAGCAGCCTGTTGCTATCTCAACGCAGCTGGCTCTAAAGCCCTGCGAACACTCCGGCTGCCTGGCCACAGGGCGTAGGTCACCGGCAACGCATCTAGACAGGCGGCTCTTACGGGCTTCGGTCTCAAGACTCCTTTACCTTCGTAAAAGTTATTAAGGACCTCAGGATTTCTGTTCACAGGGGCCATGTTTGTCACTATTTACTGCGTTGAAAATAAAAATGAGGCACTTTCCATTAGCCATCAGAGTGACACCGTCGACCCAGGTCAGACCGTGTCTGGAAAACGCCACTGTGCAGGCTGAGGACACCAGAGCAGAAAACAGCCCAGGAGGGCGCGGTGTGAGCGTCTGACAGCACCGCCCCGCGCCTCGGGAGCCTGGGTCTCGCTGTGGAAGCCACCGCCTAGCCCAGGCCGCAGCAACTTCCGGCAGAGCCAGGAAGTACACACTTCGGGTTTCACCAACCACGAATTCTCCTCTGCCACACCGAATTCTAAGCCAAAAGCAGCCACCACTGGCAGGACATAAGAAACAGGGTGGTGTGTCAATGAAACCGTAGCTACAAAAACCTGCAGGTCTGGGGGCCGCTATTATCCAGTGATATTAGTCGATGCCGCAAAGGCAGTCCGGGAGTGATTTGGTAGAAATGCTTGTCCTGGAAATAGGGTAAGCGGGTATGTGAGGAAAAAGCAGATTCCAAACCACAGGTACAACGTGACACCAAGATTTGTGAAAGGGGTGTGGGTGTGAGTGTAAGTGTGAGTGTGTGTGTGTGTGTGTGTGTGTGTGTGTATCCTAAAGCTGCATCAGAGGTTTAGTCTGGTGGATGATTTGTTGTTTTTGCTGGTCTGTATTTAGTAACACTACTGTCATAAGATATGTTTAAGATCTTTCTTAATTAAAATAAGAACATTTGGAAGACTCGACGTCCATATACCAGCCGCTCTGAGGCGACAGCAGTTTGCTCGCTTACCAGTCCGACTGTGAACGGCTGTGGGCTCCCCTTCAGTCCCGCCGGGGCCTTGTGGAAATATTTCAAAAGAGTAGTTGGTCGCAGGCTTTAAGCCCCCAATGACAATCTCCAAGTCGCTGGTCGTGTGGCTGTGACTTTCTCCGGACGGGTCCCGGGTTGTGACAATCCTGAAGGACTCTGAGTCGCTGCTGTTCCAAGCTAAGCCAATTTCCCTCGGGCGTACCAGCGTCACCCGCAAGTCCGAGACTGGAAAAGGAGCTGTGGGGAGACGCGGAAGGGTGAGGGGAAGGATCTGTGCCCCCGGAGCCGGTGACAACTGTCACCCCGTGCTCACACTACCAACGGCGCACAGGGACACAGAGCTCTCTGCTCCCCTCCCGATCAGCAGCTACAACACAAGCACCTCACAAACTGCTGCTTCCGACCACGCAGAGAGTGCGGGGCCACAGACTGCAGACACCGAGACAAAGCTATTTGCAGGGCAGGACAGGAGCCAAGGGCACCCAGGGTCAGGACCGGCTCTGCAGGAGACCCCTGCCCCTGCCAGCTGCTTTCTCCTGATGCAGTACTAAGCCCCGCTGAGCCTCTGCTGGTGGCCCTAAAATATACCCCCGACCTTTTCCTTCACCCCACATTCCCAGGCTTCCACTCTGTACATGGCTGGGGGGAACCAAGTCTCCATCTCGCAGCCTCCCTTGCAGCTACAGGGAGACACGTGACTCAGCCACAGCCAACCAAATGTGAGGAATGGGAGCAGCAGCCCAGTGGCTCCCAGGAAGTTCAGCCTGAGGGCGGAGCTCCGCCTGGGGCCCTGCATCCTTCCTACAACTGGAATGTGGATGTGATGGCTGGAGCTCTGGCTGCCTGGCTCCAGAACCAACACCGAGGTGGTGGTGGTGGTGGCAGCTTCCTGATCCTAGGATGACAGCCCAGAGCACTGCCTCCTGGACCCAGCAGCAGAAGCCCAGGCTTGCCCCTCACTCTGCCCATGGGGACAAACAGGGCGACGAGCCAGGTGGGTCTGCTCGCGGCCTCAGTGTGGAAGTGAGTCCTGGGGCCTGAGCGAAATCCTGTTGCCCGGTTTCTGGGCTGACCTGTGCCCCCAGTGTGCACGGGCTGAAGTCCTAACCGTGCACCGGATGGGAATGTGTGTGCGAGGGTCTGTGTCAGGCAGCCGTCCAGCGAAGAAGCAGCCAGACACTGCAGAGCGCCACCTGCAGGCCGAGAGGGCGGCCGGGAAAGCCACATCTGCTCTCACCCTGACACCCAACACACAGCCCCAGGAAAGAGACACAATTTTCTGTGGCATGCTTTGCAGCAGCCCTAGCAAAATAACCCACGTACCTTTCTGATGACTCCGTACACTCCCAATTTCCAGGATAAACCCCTTTGGGCTTAAAACAGCCCAGAGTTTTCCGCTTCCTGTGGCTGAGACCTGGCTGACACTCTTACATCTCCATCCTGCCTAGCACTGGGCTGCTTTCACCTGAGACACAGACGAACTCCCGTCTTACTTAAGCGACTGACCACGGGGGTTGGTCCAGGGGAACCTAATCCTAACTCGTGGTGTCAGGAAGCAAAAGGTGAAGAAATGAAAGCAGGTTTCATCTTCTCCAAAGAGCCAGCCCGAAAGACACTTGTGAGAAGGCACAAGGTGTATGCTGGCGGGACGCTCCAGGCTCCTGGGTGAGGCATTTGTGCAGGGTGAGCCCTGGGCCCTGCGCCAGGCACTCATGTGTTCCAGCGCCTGCCCCAGCACCTGCTAGCTCAGTGGACTTGGATCAACTGTTCAGCCGTGCTGGGCTGAAGTCTTCTCATCTGTAACAGGAGTCCAACGCCCACCACAAAGACCGATGCCAGGATGTAAGGCAGAGTGCTGCTGGCATCCACACTGCTGTGCTGCCATGCGCCGCGCACCATGACTGCTTTATTTCACACCATCGAACCTGCTTGGCGCAGAAGGCTAGCCTGTCTGCAGCCGGCCTCGCCTAAGTTCTCATCCTTACGGGACATTTAAGCGACCAAAGGATGAGACACACACTTCCTTGTGTGTCAGCATTGCAAGGACACCCAGACAAGAGCATCCAGGTTCTCCTTTTCTCCCTGTCTCAACTCACCCCAGGCCTCGACCTAGAGTGGAGGCTTTACCCGGCCTCTGCCCCCCACCAGGTGTGACACCTGCCTACCTCCCCTCCCTCAGCCTTGGCTTCTTCATCCAAAAATGAGGCTGATGCCACCCCAGGCACAGGGCTGCTGGGAGCGTTCAGTGAGACATGCAGAGAAAGCAGTAAGTGGCCAGGCTCCAGCAGTGACAGCACCATTCTGCCTCCCACGCTGAGGGGTAGAAGTCCCTGGGGCCCACGGGCCCGCCACACAGGATGGGGGGGAGGGCCAGCAGGCGCACACTCACCGGTGTACACCTGGACGACACCCGGCGTGCCCTCCGCCCCTCGCAGGAAAGGACGCACGGTGATGTTGTACAGGGTGCTCGAGTTCAGGCCACGGATGTCAGCAGAAGTCTCGTTGACACTGACATCGAAGGACTCGGTGTCCCCGGCCACGTGGATCTCATAGGTATAGGCAGAGGACGACCCGTTGTGGCTCATTTCCCAGGTCAGGCTGAGGCTCGTGGCACTGACGTTCACAGCTTTGATATTGAACACCTGCTTGGAATCTGGGAAGACACAAGAGAGTGAGGGAACAGTCCCCAGATGGCTGCGCTGGAAGGGGCAGGGAGCTGTCACCAGCATGTGCCCCCGAGCTTAAGAAACACTCAGGGACGGCTCTTCCTCTTCACCGTTAAACCAGGACTAGCCGCCTGCCCTGCCCCGGGAGCAGTGACTCAGAAAAGTCCCCAGCACACGTGCCCAGGAGTGAACACTGCTCTTCCACGATGAATCACAGGCGACAGACGGGACAAGGTGCACCCGGGTTCCCAGGCCAACTGTGTCTTCACAAATGGTGCAACAGCCCCACCCTGAAGTCAGGGTCACGTGAGAACAGGACCCACCCCTTGCCCACCCCCTGCTCTGTGCAAGAGACCAGGCCCTGAGCACGGTGGGCCACGGGGCCGTGTGGCCTGGGAGCAGGTGCCACTGAATGACATGAGCGGCACTGAGGTCAGGGAGCGGAGAGCACTCTGCATCCCCAGTCCATCACCCCTGCTGCAGGTCAGGTGTGCTCCACAGACTCCACTCGCAATGGGCATCATGGCTGTGTCTGGGGGTCCCCCAAAGCCTCATGCGGCCCTCACTGCAGCTTCTCAGAGGTGGCCAGATCTAGGGCGTGTGACGCTGGGGTTGACTCAGGGTGCAGTGCTAGGATCAAGGGCGCTAGGACTAAGGGTGTGCGTGCAGCCTGGATGAGATGTAAAGGACAGAAACGGGCTTGCAGCCTGGACCTGCTTGCTGGCTTTTGCTGCCCTCTGCCGTCCATGGTTTGTTTCTCCTCTGCGATGCCCCTCTGCCAGGCCACCCTGCCTTGGAGCCAGCCCATTATGTACTAAAACTTCCACAAGCTGTGAGCTACAGAAACCTTTCCTCCTTTAACTTTGGGTGCTGGGTAGTTGGTCTCAGCAACGAGAGAAAGCAACTAAGACACTGGGCTTCAGGTGTCCTTAACCTGTTCAACCTGGGCGTGTGTGTTTCATGTACACACTCGTGTACATATGTATGAGTGTTGCCACAGACAGGATATTCATGTCCCCTCAAAACTCACATGCTGCAGCCCTCATAGCTGTGACGATGGTATCCGCAGCAGAGTTGGGGAAGTTACTGGTCATGAGGGTGGAGCCCAGGGATGAGATCACGGCCCTTATCCAAGGCCCGAGAGACCCCTTTCTCACCCCTCACACCACGTGCGGACACCGAGTCCAAAATCCAGAAGAGGGCCCCGGACCCACAACCAGACCCAACCTTACCAACACCTCAGTCGCTCACTTCCAGCCTCCAGGGCTGTGAGAAGTGTTTATTGTGTAAGCTTCCCTGACTGTGGTAACTTGTTATAGCAGCCAAAACTGAACTAAGCCATTCTTTTTCTCTCTCCCTCTCTCTCCCTCTCTCTCCCTCTCTCTCCCTCTCTCCCTCTCTCTCTGTCTCTTTCACATACACACACTCAAGCAATTATTCTTCAGAAATTATTTATGAAATACTAAGCCACTTAAAAAGCCACTTAAACACAAGCCAGGCTCTCACCAAGAGCCTGAGATACGATCACTGCTTCTTTACTTTCATTTAAATTGCTTTAAAAAGCAGGAACCCAAGGCCCACACTAACGCACAGGACCCCTTTTAGCAAATCAAGGAGAGAGCTTGTGTCAGGCAGCGTTTCACGGCTATGACAAAAACGCCTGAGAAAATTGACTCTGGTTCACAGTTTCAAAGGCTCCAGTCCATAGGTGGCGCCATCATCCCTGGGCCTATGGTAAGAGTGGAAGAGGGTGGTAGAGGAAAGCTGCTGGCTTCATGGAGAGAGGAAGGAAGGGGCCAGGGGCAAAATACAGCCCCTAAGGGCTGGGGATGTGGCTCAGGGGTAGAGCTCTTGCCCTGCATGTGCAAAGCCCTGGGTTCAATCCTCAGCAACACAAAAAAGAAACAGCCCCTAACACCACTTCCTCAAGGACTCACTCCCTTCAGTTAGGCCCACCTCCTAAGCTCCCACTGCTTCCCAGTACAGCCCATCAAACTGTGAGCCCATCAATGAATGAATCCATTTATGAATCCATGTATTGATCTATCAAGGATTTAATCACTGATGAGGCCAGAGCCCTCATGGTCCAGTCCCTTTCCCACCTCTGAACATGGCTGCCGTGGGCAGTGAGCGCTCACACATGAGCCTGTGGAGAACATTCCAGAACCTTCCTCTGGAGGGATCTGGCCCAGGGCCTGACAGGTGAAGGGCACCTAGGCTGGATGTCAGCCCCAGTCAGCCTGTCAGCCAAGGGCAGCCTTCCACAGCCCGCAGCCCTTCCTCCCACTTCTCCTCAGACCTCTCTCTGGAAACCAAGCCCTCCACACCCAATGCCACCCGTCACTCCCGCCAAGTCGTGAGGCCATGAGCAGCGTCTCCTATAGCATGAGTGCTACCAGGAGGAGAGGAAAGAAGGAAGGAGATGCAAGCAGAGCCTCCTGCCGTTCAGGCTCTAGGAAAGCTGTCGCTCCCCACAGCAGACATGGCTGCCACCCACTTCCTGCCTGGGTTCTCCAGTCTGGCCTGGAACCATCTGAAAGTATTCTAGGTCCTGTTCCTCTCCTTTCTCTAAGAGCGAGGGACAGAGAATTCTCAAAGCACACATACAACACCGCTGTAGAAATTAATCCAGCCCTCTGGATTCAACCACCAGGGTCCTGGAGGCGCCACCAAACCCACTGCCCTCCTCACCCGCATCCCTCACCCTGGCTCCAGGCTTCAGCATGCGGGGCCCAGGGCCCTAGGCTGTCTCCTGGCTCGGCCATTGAGCTCCACCTCCAACCCTTTTGTATCTTTTATAGCGAGACAGCGACTCAGCAAATCACTAAGTGGCCCAAGCTGGGCTTGAACTTGCGATCCTCCTGCCTCAGCCTCACACAATGCTTGTAGGCGCCTGGGTGGAAGGAACTGCTGCCACCCACAGCTGCTGGGAGGACAGCACCTCCCTCTCCCGGCACAGCCACCCGGCAGCAGCCGTGTGACACACTGGCCCGTCAGGGACTCTGAATCTGAGGCCCTCACGGGATTGAGTGTGGCCAGCCCTCCGGAGCCCCCTGCGTGCCAGGCTGTTTTCTGTCCCTGCTCCGCCAGCCTCGAACGCCCGCCTTGCTAAGGACACCTGGCGCTGGGTCAGATGACCCGGTCAGTTCACACTGCCTGCCACCAAGTCCGCAGGGCGGTGACCCTGAGACATCTGTCCCAGAGCTCACTGGGCCGGACTGTGCTCGGTGCGCTGCACCGACTCCCTGCCCGCGGGGCTGGCACCCGGGAGCAGGGACCGTGCCTTCTTCACTCGGAAGCCTCCTGTGTGCAGGGCACAATGGGATCGCGGGGTGCCACACTCGTCAGTGCGTTCGCAGCTGGAGGAGCCCTGGGGGGTGCCTGGCTGGACGTGGACCCTGGCTGTGACCCGGGAAGGTGCATTTCTGTCCTGCCCTTCCTCCTCTCTCTGCTTCCAGCTGCCACGGCTTGGGCACCTTCCGCCACTCTGAGCTGCTTTCATGCCAGCCAGCCACGGACCAAAACCGTGAGCCAAAATAACCCTCTCCTCTCCTAAGTCGTGGGCGTCGCGTGCTGTGTCCCAGCGACAGCACAGTGACTGAGACACCTCCGGATACCGGCGGGCTCGTGAGTCACAGCTCGCCATCAGCACGAGCACGACAGGAAGAGGAGCCCGGATTGCCCGCGTACGCCCGACAGGGGGCTCGCGTTCTTATCTCGAGGGAGGAAGAATTAGCCAGTGATTAACCGCTGCACCACTGTCTCTCTGGCTCCTCGGGGAGACGGGAGGGGGTGACAGGCGGGAGGAGCTGCCAATGTGACCCTGAGCCACAGCCCTGAAGCAGGAGGGCTCCCCAGGTCTGCGCTGTCCAGAATCTCTCCCGAGAACAGAACTGGCCGCTAAGCGAGAGATAACTCAGACAGAATCACAGAAGACGCAACCCGTGCCCGAGGCTGCCTGGGGCCCTCTCAGCAGGGGGCACCTACTTGTTGTGAAGGAGAGGCTGTCGGGCTGTCCCTCTGTGCCGTCTGCCGCCTGAGGGTAAACAGTGGCGTTGTACTGCGTGTCTGTCTTCAACCCGACGATCAGGACTTCTGTGTCTTGGGTCTCCTGGCCAGCGGCTGGGCCTGCGTGTTCAAGCTGGTACCGGATCCGACCCGCAGGGGTGGAGGGGCTCCCTGCAGGGCTGCTCGCTGTGCCACCGGCTTCTGCGTCCAGCGCAGGAGGCAAGGACGTGAACCGCACACCAAGAAACACATTCTCTTTCAGCATCCCACCCCGTAAGATGACACCTCCCACGGCTGGCTCTCCAGAAATATCTGTTCCCCGCCGCCCCCGGACGCGATCTGGTCTCCTGAAACGGCCCCGGCATTTCACTTTGTGCTGCAGTTCCTGGAAGGCCACGGACACTCCGTGCCTCTCTCGAGTCTGCTGTTTTGAACCTTTTATGTTTTTTGTTTTTATTTTGTTTGGTTTTTTTTTTTTTTTTTTGTTTTGTTTGGTTTTTTTTTTTTTTTTTGGAGGCAGGGTCTTGCTATATCGCCCAGGCTGGCCTCAAACTCACCTGCCTCCACCTCCCGAGTGCTAGGGTGACAGGCGTGCGCCACTCCACCCAGCCTGGACCACTCTCACCCCAACGGGGTCTCCCAGGGACAGCTCCCCAACTCAGGCCTGGCTTCCCCTGGACCAGGCCGCAGGCGGAGGGGCGTGACAGGGCGTGACACGGGACAGTGTGGAGGGAGCCCACACGCAGAAAGGAGCAGGAGGCGGGCTGAGAACCGCCGTCTCCGTCTCCAAGACCCCACAGAGAAGTGCGCACTCGCCACCCACCGCCCTTGCGTCTGAGCCCGCTGAGGTCTGGCTCCTGCCTGCCGCTCACAGTCAAGAACCTCAACACCCACCCCGTGGCTCAGCTTCCGCAGGCATGAAGTGGGGACGGAGCCCACGTTCTCTGCGAAGCTGCACAGCCCTGCTGGGTGTGCCGCTGGGCGCCCCTGGTCTCCAGGGAGGGGTGAGCTCCTTCCCGGGCCCCCCATGTGCGCCCAGCTGGAAAATCAAAGGCTCCAGGGCCCATCTGCCTTCCTCTCTCCGGGGTGCTCAACGGCTCAAGTTTCAAGACCCAGCGCCCTCCTGAGCCCCAGCGCACTCACCAGTAAAGTAAGACACCCCAGTCCTTCCGGACGTGAGCCTGGGACCGAGCCAGCCTGGACAGGGAGCCCCCTACCAAATCTAAACCCTACACAACAGAACAGTATCTTTTGCAACTTTTTTTTTTTGTATCCGGAACCAAACTCAGGACCTTGCACTTGTGAGGCAGGCGCTGTGCCCTGAGCTACATCCCCGGCCCTTGCAGCTATTAAGTGAGAGGAAATCAACTCTGTAGCTCACCTGAGCCCCCTTCCGGAACCAGGGCATCGCTCTGCGTGTCGTTTGACTGCGGCAGACTGAGGACAACGCGCTGAAAGCCAGGCCTCAGGCCCGAAATATTGGTCAGCGTCTCCTGGCTTCCCAGGCTTTCAAGAAGCAGGCGGCAGGACGCGGTGCGGTTGTCGCTGCCCCAGGTGAGGACGACCTGTGTCTCCCCCATGAAGGCCACGCTCAGGCCAGACACCGGAGGAGGCTCTGTGGACGGACACACGGGGACATTCAGGGCTCGGTGTCTGCAGGCTCCTGCCATTCAATCAGCCCGATCCCGCGTGCCCCGCTCGGGCGGGGCCTTTATCTGAGTCCGCCGCATCTCCGTCACCCACAGCAGGGGGAGCACAGAGCAGACAGCGGAAGGAATGAACCCCAAGACCAAAATCACTGAGGACGAGCCCTGACAGTGACTGCAGCTCTGCTTTAAAATGTCCCCATAAACACCAGCCTTTCGTCACATCTGCCCTGGACATTGAGGACAGAGTAGTAAAAGGAATCCCTGTCAAATCCCTGCATCGGTCACAGGCTCTCCCTTCCAGACCGGGCCGAAGTAGCGTTTTAAAGAACCGAGACTCTGCCGCCGAGGTACACGGCACATTCCAGCCCGGGTGATTCCGGGGAGCTCCCCACCACGCGGCGCCCCAGCGCTTGCTGCTGTCACCTCCTTTGGCTGGCGTGGCATGAATCAAAGCACCTCAGCTACAATGACGCTCAGGAGCGGGAACAGAGGGACGCGAGCTTGCTCAGGAGCACACGCTCTTGCTGGCAGCGGGGACCAGAGCCCCGACCGCTGGCCCCAAGCACAGGAACATGGGGGCATCACAGACAGAAAGACAGGGGGACAACGGACAGACAGAGCCCTGCCCGAGGCCTACAGAGGGCTGAACAGGAAAACCGCAGCACCGCCCAACCTGGAAACAAGGCAATCCGCTCTGTGTTTTGATTTCCCACATCAAACATTCTAATGCAAGATTTTAAATCAAGTCACTCGGGCACGTCTCTTATGCGGTGGTTGGGTTTGGTTGGGTTTGGTTGGGTTTGGTTGGGTTCAGTTCGGCCTGGCACTGCCAAGGACTCACACACGCCGAGCAAGCGCTCGCTCCACCACTAGAGCTACATCTCATTATAGTGGTGTTGTTGTTTTACTTGTTGGGCTTCTGAGCAGTATTTTAACAAAACAGTTTCCTGGCTACAGAAAAACAGATGTCAAAACTCAGTAGTCTCGAAGGGATGTTGCACTGCACCCACCTCACTCCAAGCCAGGGGATCCAGGGCCAGGCTTCCGTGGCCTTTACCAGCCAGAAAGATCACACACACTCACATCACACACTCACACACTCACTCACTCACTCACCCCTCCACACCGCCATCCAGGAAACTAACAGAGGGCCTCTATTTTCTTGTTGCTTTAAAAACAACAGCTCACCTGTTCGGCACTAGTTTTTAATTTTTAGTGCCTATCAGCCCATAAAATAAAAAAGGCCACACACGCAGCTCTAAGAGGTGACTGAGCATTCTGGTATCTAAGCTACACCGCAATCTAAGTTGTGCGGTCTTCATTAAAGTGCAGACATCACAGGGCTGCCACCCCACTTGAAACACACACGTTCCTACAGAGCACACCATCCTTCCCACACCCAACGAAAGCTCGTGGGCAAACAGACACAGCCTCAGTTTCCCAAGGAGCTGAGAAGACCAGGAACTGCTGATGTCATCAGAGCACCCCTCTCAGGAGGTCTCATACCAGGAGCTCCGCAAGAAGTAGGTGTGAGCCACTGCTCACAAAAAAGATCTTAAAAATAAAACAACGGGAAACAGGGAAAGTTCCAGCTGGGTCTGGTCGCACACACCCTTAATCTCACCACTGGGGAGGCTGAGGCAGGAGCACTGCCACGAGTTCAAGGCCAGACTGGGCTGTACAGCAAGACCTTGTCTCAAACACCAACGACATTAAAGCATCTATCCCACCCCCCACCCGCATCTAACAGGAAACGGGACTGACGAGGCTCTGGGATCCAGGATAACAAGGAATGGTTTGTGACCGTGGTTTGAGCCGGTCACCTTACCTGTTCCGACGTTTATGAGAGTGGGCTTCTCCCAGCTCTGGGTGACTCTTTCTGGGGATTCGGAGGACGGGGACGGAGTCGCCGGGCGCAAGCCTGTGGTGGTGTACCCTGTTTGCTCAGTGGTGTTCGCTGTGTGGCCCGTCTCATCCTCTGTCCACTCAGGAGCGGCCTGGCTTCCATTTTTCCAGCTTGGGACCACACCAGTTGGACTGACAGAAAGTGCTTCAGAGTCACCCACAACTCCAGGTGCTATGCCAACGTTGTTTTCAAGGAAAAATGAAAAGTTACATTGAAAAATATAAACGTAAGAAGAAAATCTGCTCTGTATGTCTGCTTTCCGGAAATAACTTCACCATCACAGGACAAGACAAGGATGTTGCAGGAACCCACCTTGTCCCTTAAAAGCTCTCAGAGTCCAGCTCCTCCACTGAGCCCCAAGTTCCCCTAACACACCACGCCACACAGGAAGGAGTGTTGTTGACTCCCTCAATGTGAAAAGCAAGATCACTAGGTTTGGTTCGGTTTTGGCAGTGCAGGGGAATAAACCCAGGCCTTTGCACTGAGCTACATCCCAGACCTTCTCTAAGAAAAGATCTCACTGAGTTGCCCAGGCTGGGCTCAAACTTGCAATCTTCCTACTTCAGCCTCCCAGAGGTATGCACCACCATGCGTGGCTTGGAGATTTTTAAATGCAGGTTCAGTCACTACTCTTGTAATAGTACTCAAAGTCTCTCATCTCTCAGATGTGTAAGATCTTAACCAGCCAGACATAGTGGGGTACACCTGTAACCCCAGCA